TCTAGTGCAGGCTAGAGAAGTTGGTCACCTCTGATTCTGCAGAGATCTTGCCTCTGTGCGCTAACACCTGTGTTGCTGGTAGTAACATTGACAGCAGCGGACGAAAATGGAAAACAGGCTCCAGGAGTGAAGCTGCTGCCTCGGGTAGACAGAAAACAGAGGTCTCATATGGGTGCATTGTCGCTGAGTGCATAGACATCCTGGAAATGGGGATTATACAATTAAGAATGGATCCAGTGCCAGCACTGCTCTGCTAAGACACAGAGCAAGAGCAAAGGGCAGTCACACTCCCTTCAGACTCCTTCCAAGGGGGCAAAAGGGGTCAGCAAACTCCAGCTTAGTCCTTTTCTTCCTTCTAACAACAGCCTCTTTTTTGTTGTCATTTTCCCATGGGCTGGGGAACAGGAAGGTGTAGCAGGGTAAACACGTGGGATAAATGTCAGAGACCTCTGCTCACCCATCCTGGCCATCGGCAGGCAGGTGGAGCTGGAAGTGGGAAAGGAAGCTCTGCTAGAGCAATTATGGTCTCACAGCAAAAAAAGTGAAGGGATCCTTTACAAGCCAGGTGCTGATCTGGTCCAGGGAAACCTTGGCAACCAGTGGGGAGAAGGGTGAAACCCTACTGATGCTTCTCAGCTGCTTCTTACAGCAAGGGACAAAATTTCCACGCCGGGCTTCTGCCAGCCACTGAGCTGTGTGACTGCTGTCCATTCCTCATCACCCCCCTCACCGAGCAGAAGAGAGGAGGAATAGCTCAACGCTCTGGGGAAAGAAGTAGGAGAAAGTGGAAGGTCCCTCTCCAACCATTTTTCTGCCCGTAAATACCAAACTTTGAGCCATGAGAAGAAAATGCCCACAAGTGCTGTGCAACACCTTTCAGGGTCCAAAAGCCAATGAAAGTTGTCACAGGGACCACCTACCCCTGCCCCGTGTCCCTGTCCTAAGCCCTCTGCTGTACCCTGTTCTGCTGGCAACTTCCATACAATGATGCTCCCGCACTGTCCCCAGTGCCCCAGTAGCCAGCCCTGGAGGAATGAAATAGGCAGAGGCCGGTGTCCTCTTCCAAAGCCCTCTGCCAATATGGTCTTCAAAGCACGCCTCCAAGCAACCGTAGGAACTTGGGGATGTCCAGCCCCCTGTGCCAGCCTGGGCCCCAGGGGCTGGTAGCTGGTCGCCGCTGGGAACAAGCCCATCTCTCCCTGGTGAGCGCAGGGGACCTCACTCCAGCTGCCCAGCCTTAGCCACGGTCTTGCAGCCAGAAGGGTCTCTTCCACAGAAACTGTTTTCATGAGAAAGTGCCAAGGAACACGGGCAAACGTTTGCATCAGTTTCGCAAGAATGACTTCTCTGTTTCCACACTCCAGCCAAACCCACAAGCACCCAGGGAGCAAGCACTGGCCTGTTTCCCCCAGGCAGCCAACAGCCTGGGTGAGGGCTTGCATCCCCCTGCCTGGCTTCAGGAGGGGGTTTGCATGCTGTCCCCCTACTCACAGGAAAACGAACCACCCTACAGTTTTCTTGTGTCATCTTGGGACTCTTGGATCTGTTTCTCTAACGCCGGTAAAAATTGTGCAGTGCAGAAAAAGAAATTCATGGGGGAGGAGGGGGGGGGCAGACAGAAGTGGGAAATAGTGAAGAAAGTTAATGCAAGGCAGCTACGGCACTGCCCGGTCACCCCATCAGCCAGAAACCCACCCAGCTGGAGGGGTAATTCAGAGCAATGCTGCCAGACATCATAACTGAAAATAATTTATTTGATCAATAGTAAAGTAAGAACATAGGATTATACATCTGTTGATATATAAATGACAAAAATGCAAAAGCAAAACCATCTACAGGAAACCCATATGTAGTCCAGTACACAAGTCACATCCCAGGGAAAAGCTGCATGCCAGGACCCTCCCTCATCTGAACAAGCAAACAGTAATCCCAAAGAAACCAAGTGTTACCATTTCCTTTGCAGTTATTTGTTCTGGGTTTCAACCGGTATACACAGTATCATTTTGAATGTTGCTATGAGTATGGGAGAGGAAAAAACACCACCCACCACAGGTCATGGCCAGAATTCACTTCTGTACAACATGAGTATCTGTAGAAAAGGCCGCCAAAAATCCCAGGGAGAGAAATTTCATGGCCAGGCTGAATCAAGAGCATCTCATGATTTTGACCGATAGTTTAGACAGGCACAAGGAGATCTGGAAATCACAGATCAGCACCGAAGGGTGAAACAAGCAACAAAAGGCAGCTTCAGCTTTTACATGGCTTGTGGCTTCAGCAGTAGAGGAGAAACTGACAGTCTCTTGCACCACTAGTGTCTCTCTGCTGAAAATGCTTTTCAGGTTTCCTGGTTTTCCAGTTTCCATTTCTCTCCTCTTTCAAGGCATATGTGTAGAAACCTTTGATTGCGACAGCCAGAATCAAGTGCTCACACCACCTCCCTGATATTCAATGATTTCGGCATACAGCAAAATGATGAGTTGTTACACTAACTTTTTTTCTAATCTTCAGAGAATCCCAAGGCAAGAAAAAAAAAAACCAACAACCCCAAACCAAGCACTCAATTACAACAGGTAGCCCCTTTGCATAGCCTGTTAGCAGACAGACACCACTACAGCCAAAGGTCCCAACTCTTCAACTTACAAAAGGCTCAGCACAAAACCAAAATGTTCTCTGCAGAGACCTGTGATTTTCAGTGGATTTCAGGGAATTTTGGTGCTGATCTGCCACCTGTGGGAGCGGGGCCCTGCTTCTAAGGCACCTTTGAAAAAATAAAAAATAAGTCCTCGCCCGTGTCTCCATTATTGGTGCAGACTACAGCTACACCAATGTTTTACAGGTAGACATTTGACCTGATGCCTGCAACAGACCTTCTTCGTGTACCCCTTTGTATCTGTAAGAGCTGGAGTTTCACCTGCCAAAAAGGAATCATTTAAAGCAACAATAAGCATAAGGGAGCAGCTTTTAAACACAAGGCTGCTTCCTTGCCCTTTGCTCCTGCTCCACACAAGCCCACCTTTCCCCAGCTGCCACCAGCACGACTGAAGTCTGACCAGCAACAGCTTTTCAGCAAAGGGGGTGAATACTTTTTCAAAGACAGACCGAAAAGGCAGCTGGGTGTTTCCCTAGTAATTAAAGTCTCTGTCCTTACTTTTGAGACACTGCTGGTCTAAGAAGAAATACACTGTCCCCCCGGCCCCTGCAGGATCCCACCCCTGCAGTGCAAGGGTTTGGAAAATCCTTCAGGTCTCCAAAAAAAAAAAAAAAAAATCCCAAAAAGAATAAAAAAAGAAAAAGGAAAAAAAAAAAAGAAAAAAATCAATCAAACAAAAACCCACAAAAAACCCCAACCAACAACCACACACACACACAAAAAAAAAAGAAAAAAAAAAAAAGGCAGTGCTGAAGGGGATCCCCAATACAACTAGCGTCCCTGATTTCAACAGCCTTCAGCACAAGCCAAGGAAGTGCAAATTGCTGTGGTCAGAGCTGGTGGCAAAGTACTCACCAGAAGGAATTCAGTTCTCAGTTCTGGCTGAGAGCTTTAAATCACTTAAACCAGCTCCGAGGGTGTCAGCGCTTGAGGCTTTCATACGGTCACAGGAAGGAAAAGCAGGGTGTCTGTACAGGTGGTGCCCTGATGCACTGACAAAAAGTCGTACTCCAAAACGTGCATGTCCCTCAAAGCCTGAGAAAATCAGAAGGGAGTTTCCCAATAGAGGACGCACGTTGCAACGGGCTTTAGGCAAAGAAATATAGATTAAATGTCAGCCCTGATGCGAGTATCTCAGCACCGCAGGAGATTTCATGGAAAAATATGCAAATATAATACATTGCTTGTATATAACGACGCACATAAAAAGCCTATGAAGATAAAGGAGGCCTCGAATCATATCCTATTATGATGCACCCTAGTTTAATCTGGTACTAAGTATACTGCTTATGATATACAAATTATTTAGAAAAGTTATTAAAATGTTACAACAGCAACAAAATAAGTGAATTCAAGTTTTATGCCTGACCTTGCAAGAAAAAATTTGTTTGTAGGAAGCTTCAGACAATGTTTAAATAGTGTGGTAACTTTCTACTACTGTTATCGTATGTCAGCAAATTTTGAGGGTGTAATTTAATTGCGCAATTAAATTAATTCGTCTTTATTTCAGAAAAAAAACACCCCAAACAACAAAACACCCCCTTTCACCACCTCCCTCAAACCCAAGTGTTGTTCTGCTCAGGCAAATAGTCACTATAACATCCAGAAATAAGGTTATCTGAAGCCAGCGATTTTTGCACATGCCATGTGTGGAGCTCCCATCCTATGCAGAGAGCTCACTGGCGAATTCTGGCAAACTCTGGCTGAGCTAACTCAAAACCTCCTTTGAGACTAAAAGAAAAAATGACATTCATTGAATCCAGGCTTGATTGTTCAACACTTGCTCTGCACACAGAGAAGATGTTTGGTTTGGTCACTAAGAGAAAAAAATATGATCTTGTCTACATTAAAAAAAATATAATCTAATGCAAAGCGTAAACTTGTACAATTTTAGCAGCATTTTACAGTCCTTCATAAGGTAAAACCAGGAATGAAAAGGAATGTTTTCATCCACCTCATTTAAATTATTTAAAAATATCATGGGCAGTAATTGCTGATGCATCACAGATGTAATCAGTAAAATTTGGGTCCAGCTATTAACTCAACACGGGGAGCACTTGCAGCAAATAGATCAGATTCAACATTTTCTGGCAAAGTAAGTATTTACAACTCTTATGTACAACTTCTGGACTTAAAAAACAATGGAGAGCTAGAAAGTTGTGTAAAGTCAAGTTTGGAATTTAAAAAAAGCACTTGTCCAACCAATTTGGAAACGCTTTGGCATGCCAAAAAGAGGCCTTTTTTCTTTTTTTTTTTTCTTTGCAACTGTTATAAACCCAGCAGATATAAGGCATCAGTGAGGCCAGATGTCCTGCGAAACATAGGCAAGGTCTCTCTTGTGTCTGTGATGTTAGCTCTTTGGCGAGCCAATATCCACTGTGATCTTTGTATACAGAGGGTACTTGTCAGTTCTTAACACCTTGTAGGACAGTGTATTGAAGCCGTCAGAGCTCATTGTCTCCCTTGTGTGAGCAATTCGGTCAAACCTGCAGAAGGGTGGGGGAAAAAAAAGAAACACGAAGAAGAAAGAAAGGAACAAAGAAAGGAAGGGAAAAAAAGTTTAAGCAACCCGAACTTCTCATGACATTTTTATAGCCTCTGAGGCAGCATCTCCGGTGTTTTAAAAACAACCCGAGTATTGGTACAGGTCCCATAAACTCCCAGATTCGGCCAGCCCCAGCAGTGCCAAAGACAAGCGGGAAACAATTGCTCAGAGCTTAATTTGCTGCGTTTAAGGAAAAAGAAAAAAAAAGGTGAGAGGCCTTCATGCCATAGTGAAATCTGGGGGAGAAGGTCTGTGATAACGTAATAAACTGGTGAGGGGAAAGAGGCAGTTTACAGCACAGGGAACAAGGGTCAGCAAGGGAGGAGGTGGCTGTAGGCTTTCCTCAATGGGGCTTTTGCATGCCATGTAGAAAGCCAAGCAGCTGGAGCAGCAAGGTCAGGAGGCACGTCATGAGTCAGCTGTGGGACAGATGGAGACCCACCTTTCGGGGTTCGGCTCGTTCTTCTGGTCCCGGGAATGCTTTGAAAACAGTCTGACAGTACTTGAAGCCCGTGTCCCTTGACAATTAACCTATATGTGCACACCCTTCACGACTTCTGGCTGCAACACAGGTGTGTGTTTTGAACCACTATGAGACTCCCCACGTACACGACTGAAAGCAGAAACTAGGTAGCAGAGGGGTCCTAAGCCAGTCCCAGACAAAAGGACACTGGTCTCACTGGAGCGTGGCACTGAATTAATCTGCCTTTAGTAATGCCTTGTTACCAAAAATAAGAGAGTTACAGCTGGCATTTATGCAATCAGATCTTCCACTGTGCTAAGGCAGATCCTAAGGACAGAGTGATAAGGAATTTGTTGTAGCTATTGAAAAAAAAAAAAAAAAAAGCCATGTTTCATGTATTTTAAGTCCCTCTGCCTTATTTCCTCTATGCAGAAAGTCTGGTGCCCTTCTACCAAAGGACACCTGTTTTTTTTTTTTTTTTTTTGAGGATGTTGCTAGTGCATTTTCAGGCTTGCCAACACCAAAAGGGGAGAAAGCCAGTCCCTTTCCACACGGGCACGTCAGCATGGGGAAAAGAGATGTCACCCTGCCAACACTAAGAATCTGCTAATTCACCTGCACTGCCAGTTCCTCCAACACCCTAATGCAGGCATCAACCTTGCTTCAGGCTGTAGACTGGAATTTGAATGGATGGCATCTAGTTTTTAACCCATCTGGAACGGAGCCAAAAGAGGCTGGAAATGAAAAGCTGCAGCACTGGTAGAAACTGAAGTGAATGGTGGTGAAGCAGCATGAGGGCCACATATGGTCAAAGCCATGGTGGTCCCAGCTGGGACCCTCCAGGCGATGGACAGCCTGTCTTCGTCTGCATGCTCTCTGCAAGGCACCTGCAGTTCATGGACACCAATGCTGGAAAAGTACCTAGTTTCTTCCTCTTTACATCTCCCTTTTCATTTCTATACAGTATCTTCTGCTCCTCAGAACCTGAGTGCCCCAAAAAGAGAAAACTGCCACTTTGCTCTGAATGCCCTGCTCTGCTGGAATGTTGTCCCTCGCTTGGTTTATTAAATAGAATATTTAATATC